TATAAAATTATAGTAATTGATTTTATTGCATTTGTATTTATTTGTTTATTAGACAGAGTCTTTCTCTGTCACTTGGGCTAGAGTGCAGTGGCATCATCATAGCTTACTACAACCTCAAACTGCTGAGTTCAAGCGATCCTCCTGACTCAGGCCTCTCACGTAGCTGGCATTACAGGTGTATGCCACCAGGCTCGGCTAATTTTTCTATTTTTGTAAAGATGGGGTCTTGTTCTTGTTCAGGTCAGGCTGGTTTCAAATTCCTGACCTCAAGTAATCTTCCCAACTTGGCCTTCCAAAGTGCTAGGATTACAGGTGTGAGCTACCTCACCTGGCCTGCACATTCTTATTGAAGCATATCATGACTTTTATACAATGCAAGAGCTGAATGGGAGTTATTTCATATTGTTTAACTTACTTAAGATTATATCAGTTAAGGTTAACCTAATTACTATTATAATAGGTTGTACTATTGTAATGATTAACATGACACATAAGAGCAATCTATCCTAAACGTTTCTATACTAGGTTTTCATTACTAAGTACAAATAAGTTAGCCTAATTTTGTTGCCTACTTTTCTCTCCATGTATTTTGTTGTCTTCTTTACCTAGAGAATTGATCAGGTCAAACATTCAGTTTCTATCCTAATTTATAACTTGATTTCTTATAAATTCATTATAAGGCTTTTTTGATGAGCCCAGAATTTAAAATCAGGGATATGGATATCAGTGAGTCTAACTTGGCCCTCAGCAACTACAGCATTCAATCCAAATTTAAGTAGAGCCCTTGAAGTAATACTATGGAGCTTTCTGAGTCTATATACTTATACTGCCTGAAGATTACTCTTCTGATATTTATTTTGAACTAAAATTTGGATATGATCAGTCTTTTCACTATCTTGCTGTTCTGTAAATCTATTTCCAACATATAGCTTAAAATTCCTTTTCTTTTTTTTCTTTTTTTGTTTTTTTGACACAGAGTTTCATTCTGTTGCCCGGGCTAGAGTGCCATGGAGTCAGCCTAGCTCACAGCAACCTCAAACTCCTGGGTTCAAGCAATCTTCCTGCTTCAGCATCCCAAGTAGCTGGGATTATGGGCGTGCACCTCCATGCCTGGTTAATTTGTTTTTTTTTATATTTTTAGTTGTCTGGCTAATTTCTTTCTATTTTTAGTAGAGACAGGGTCTCGCTCTTGCTGAGGCTGGTCTCGAACTCCTGACCTAAAGTGATTCTCCTGCCTCCGCCTCACAGAGTGCTAGGATTCCAGGCATGAGCCACCACGCACAGCCCAACATATAACTTACAATTATTCAGTTAGCTTATATTTGTTGACCTCTAAACAGTATAATGTATTTTCTCTTTTCCTCTAAAACTGTTCTCATTAACTTTCAAAGAGTTGACAGGAATTTTAAATTGACACAAAGTGAATGAACTGAAGAAATATCCATCAAACTAAAATTCTTCCTGGCTTAGGCTTCCAAATACCTTCTTCTGGTTCCTTCCTCAACTATATAAAGTTTTATTTGTTTTTTGAGACAGAGTCTTGCTCTGTCCCTCTGGCTAGAGTGCAGTGGTGCCATCATAGCTCACTACAACCTCAAACTTCAGGGCTTAAGTGATCCTCCTGCCTCAGCCTGCTGAGTTGCTGGGACTATAGGTGCATGCCACCACATCTAATTTTTTTACTTTTTGTAGAGCTGGCATCTTGCTCAGGCTGGTCTTGAACTCCTGACCTCAAGTGGTCCTCCCACCTTGGCCTCCCAAGAGTGCTAGGATTATAACAGGTGTGAGCCACTGTGCCCGGCCTATAAAAGAGTATTTTTATAGAGGGCAATGGCAGTTATTCTCTACAGTGTAAACTCTGACTCACGTCTATAGGAAACAGATCATTTGCCTTCTTTCCATTTTCACTTACCTGATCCCCTTCAGCTCTAAACTCATACCCCATCCCAACCTCTCCCATTCTCACTTCCATTAAAAATTTGAGAAACTGAGGCCAAAATATAAACAATTTTCTGAAAAGAGGCCAGGCTCAGTGGCTCGTTCCTGTAATCTTACCACTCTGGGAGGCTGAGGCAGGAAGATCATTTGAGGTCAGAAGTTTCAGACTAGCCTGAACAAGATTGAGACTCCATCTCTACCAAAAAAACAGAAAAAATTAGCTGGGCGTGGTGGTGTGCCTGTAGTCCCAGCTTCTTGGGAGGCTGAGACAGGAGTGAGACAGGAGGATTGCTTGAACCCAAGTTTGAGATTGCAATATGTTATGATGTTGCCACTGCACTCTACCCAGGGTTACAGAGCAAGACTCTGTCTTAAAAAATACTTGAAAAAGAGACAGACCCTAAACTTAAATTGCTGTAATTATACATCTGTTCAGTAAGTATTCACTCAAGAGTCTATTATCTATTCAGCATAAGCACTGTAAATAAATATGCTAGGGAGGCCAAGTGCATGGCCTGCCTACCTACTTGGAGTTTACATTCTAGTGGGAAGAGAATGACAGTAAACAAGTTAAGTATAATTTTAAAAGGAAGTCAGATAACAATAATCACTAAGAAAAAAGATAACAAAGGAGAAGGGGACTCGGTGGTGATAGGGTGATAGTACTTAGAAGAGACATCTGAGCAAGGACATGGAAAAGGTGAGGGAATAAGTCACGTGGCTGTCTGAGGAAAGGTTTGAGGCTAAGGAAACAGAATTTCAAAGACCCATAGATAGAAGAAGGCCAGTGGGGTTAGAGCAGAGAAGCAAAAATGAGAAACTGAAAGAAATTTGGGGTAAGGAGATAATGTACAGCCTTGAGGCTAATGTAAAAATTTAATTTTTTATTCTGAGAACTGTGAATAACTAAATTCATTTAGAACTTTATTTTTCCTTTGAAAAATAGCTATATTAGCTATCTTACCTCTTGAAGTTGATACAATAAGGATTCTTCAAAGGCAAGTTGAAATAGCTTTTTACACATGTCCCATGGTTATTTGTATACATGATTTTTACTTGAATTATTCAAAAGAAGCTAAGCATTCTTTCAAATGCTTATTTCTTTTCTTTTTTTTTTTTTTTTTTTTTTGAGACAGAGTCTCACTGTGTTGTCCAGGCTAGAGTGAGTACCATAGTGTCAGCCTAGCTCATAGCAACCTCAAACTCCTGGGCTCAAGTGATTCTCCTGCCTCAGCCTCCCAAGTAGATAGGACTACAGGCACGAGCTACTGTGCCCAGCTAATTTTTTCTATTTTTAGTTGTTTGGCTAATTTCTTTCTATTTATAGTAGAGATGGGGTCTCACTCTTGCCTAGGCTGGTCTTGAACTCCTGAGCTCAAGCAATCCTCTCACCTCAGCCTCCCAGACTGCTAGGATTATACAGGCGTGAGCCACCATGCCAGGCTTCAAATGCTTATTTCAAAGCTGACAGCTCGATACTATCACACTCATCAGTGAGGCTCATCTGACTATCATACTTATAAAAATCAGGATGTCAACCTTCTACAACTAACTAAAAATTCTTGTTGCAAACATTTACTTTGCAACAAGAAGGAAGGGATTAAGTCAACTTTGAGTGTTTCAAAAGTTCCTCTTGGGTATAAAAATTAAAAGCGAGAAAAAAAACCCTCCATGTTGGATCATGTTTATGACAAAATGAAAATAAAAAAATAGAATTTTGTGTTAAAATAAAAAAAACATAGCACTGGAGTTCTTATCCAAAGTCCTAGACATAAACTAACTGTAACTGTATTGTTTCTAGCACAGCTAATCCTTAACATATAAAAAGTAACTGTTTTCTTGGAGAATGTTTGGGAAGAAAATTTCATATATAAGCCTATGTCCCATCAATTCATATTATTAAAGATAAGATGCCTTAAAGGAAATAGGATTTTTCTTGAATCTTGTCAGTTCTTATCTCTAGTAAATTTCAGGTGAAAAGTAGTGAGGAGCTAGCATCCACAGAGGAGCATACATCTTCAAGGAAGTACATTAGAGGTAAAATTACTAATAAATAAACTAAAAGGATATTAGCTGGATCCACCTTTAACCATGTTTAATTTTATATGATCATGACATTTCCGTTATAATAGAAACCAGACTTTTAAAAAAATGTATTTTAAAAATTTTATGAATTTACAATGGCAAAATTCTACTTGGACTACTATTTAGTGAGATATTCATACAAAATTTCTCCTCTTGAGCTCTCCTTCCCACAAAATATCGAAGGAATGATACTATTGCTCCAATTTTGTCATGCATGTATCCGTGCAATCTGGCAACACAAGCTCACTTCAACTGCATATATCCTTTCCCAAAAAATATCATCACAATAATCTGGCTATAACAAAAATATTTCTAAGCTCTGTTGGACTGCCTGTTTTAGAACTGTAGACAGTCTACCACAATAGGAGCTATTCTGTAAGAGATAGTTCTAACATTACTTCATTTGTGAAGACTTATAAATAGTTTAGAAAAGATTAAAAAATTAAGTACAATTTCCTAAAAAGCATTTCTTTAGGCCCTCAAATAGGGTTAGATAATAGCTATTTAAAATGCAGAAATGTTGCTGGCATTGCCTTCAAAATATATCTATTATCAGACTATTTCTTACTACCTCCACTATTGCACTTAGTCTGAACCACCATCACCTCCTCTTTCTCGAGAATTAGAAACTCTGTGTTCAATGAGATCTACTATAATTACTAAATATAATACCCTACATAATGCTTATCCCACCCCCATATCCTGATCTATCCTTTCATTATCATTTACCATTTTACTATAAAATTTACTTGTAGTAGATTGCCTGTTTTTCCTCGTCAGAGTACAAAGCTCCAAGAGGGCAACAATTTTTGTTTTGCTTTTTAAAGTACTCTAAGTACCCAGAACAGAATATGTGATTGGTAGCTTATGAGACAAATATGAAGAACCACATCATGCAATAATCAATTATGATTGAGAAACATTAATTATGACAAAAATATATACTATGTGTCCTTATTACACAGAGGTTACCATACCAGATAAAATAAGCAGTTCAATGATTTCTGCATCTCCAAGATAGGCAGCAGCGTGCAATGGGGTTCTCTTTTCATTGTCCTGTGATGATAAGGAAAGGTGGAACGTAAGTTTTAAGATAAGGTTAATTTTAATACAGTTTAAATGGGGGGAAAAAGATTATGAACTATCAACTTATTACTTCCACTAGTCCAATCTGCAAGTCCCATTAATAAAATATAGGGCATTTCCCTGGTAGGAAAAAAGCCTAAAAAAAAATTTTGGTCTCAAAATATTGGTGTAAGGTACAGCAAAGGCCCAGTGCACTGGCTCACATCTATAATCCCAGCACTTTGAAAGCCCAAGGCAGGAGGATTGCTTGAGCCCAGGACTAGCTTGGGCAACACAGCGAGACCCCCTGTCTCTACGAAAAATAAAAAAGTTAGCCGGGCATGGCATGGTGGTCCATGCCTGTAGTCCTAGCTACTCAGGTGGCTAGGCAGGATGATTGCTTTGGGTGATCCCAGGAGTTCGAGGCTGCAGTGAGCTATGATTGCACTATTGCACTCCAGCCTGGTAACAGAGCAAGATCCTGTCTCAAAGAAGTAGAACAAAGAATAATAATAATAATAAAATCTAAAATGACAAAGAAATAGCTTCTCAGACTTTATTTGAATAAAGATGCCTAAGCTGCTGATATATATATATATATATATATATATGCAAGTTTCTTTTACTTCATATACTCTTTTCTTTTTGCCAATGTATTTCCACAATTTTACAGTTTAGAACTGTTGACCTAATTAAATAAAATAAATCTTAACAAAACAAAAGATCTGCTTATTGCGATGTTTCCACAGGAGTACCTGTATAGTGGCAGAAAATACTTCTGGGGATTTGAAATTATCCTTTAAAGCATCTTAAGGTTTTTCTTAATGTTCATGCCAGTTTTGCTTTTATCTCCAAAATATATGCATGCCTGTTTTAATGTAAGAAATACATATTCCTCCAAATCTTCTTTCAGGAAGAGAAGCTACATTTAATGCACAGCTTCATGGACCTTGTACCTAAAAACAACAATGCTTTCCAGTTTAAGAAGCAAAGTCTTAAGGTAACATCATATTTAAAGATTTTAATTCACATCTACAACCTATCTAAAGTTACAATAGAGTATTGTTCACTTGGGTGCATTTGAGAAAACTATTTATTCAGAAATACTTATATTGAAATTTCCATCCTTCATTTTTGATGAAGGCTTCTGTGACTAATTGTTGTTTTCCACTATGTTCTTCCTTTGACCATAGGAATAAAATTTTAGCTGGTCACTCAGCCACCCAATGAGGAAGTACATCCCTAGCTTCCCTTGAAGTTGTTTTGTATTGATCAATAGTATATGAGTGAAAGTTAATGGACATAATTTCCAGGTCATCTTCAACTTAAAAGCCAACTACCCTAGAGCTGGCCTAAGTTTCTCATTTCCCTCAGGCTGGAAGGCAGATGTGAAACTGAGCCAGCTTTGATCATGCTGATGTAGGCACACTGTCAAGCAACAAGTTCCAGGAATGATCTTACAGAACAAAGTTGTCCCACTAGTTTGGACAACTGACTTCTAGACTATTCAGAAAAATAAACTTAATAGGTATTATATTTTGAGGTCTCTTACCATATTAGATTACTATTACAGTTTCAAGATTTAAATGAAAAATTTACCCCATTTTGTAATAATTTTCTGGTTTGGGAATCCCTTCATTACTCTAAGAGTAGTTGGCTGACTGAGAATAAATAGGGGAAAAAAGAAACCTGTTAGGTAAAAGAGGGGTTAAATATCCAAAGGTAATACAAAAAAGGCTTAGCTGTAGTATATAAAGGTATTATAAAGATGTATATAACATATATCACTGGTCTCTTTATATATAACTTTATATATATATATATATATACACACACACATATATCACCTATATCACTGGTCTCTTTAAACATTTCATCTTATAATTCTAATATATTTGTGATATTATTTTTGTCCTTAAAATAGTAATAAGTGTTCCAATAAAGAAAGGTTGGAAAAGTGCTATTAATGGTAAATTGTTTAGGAAGCTAACAGTTATTGTCTAACCACAACTTACACGTGACCTTGCTTTATATTCCAATATATACCCCAGGAAATAATGCTCTGCACAGAAATTATTCAACAAATAGTGGTTGAAAAAACTAACACAGAACCATTAAGATAACTGTGTTCTAATTTAGTCACTTTTTTATAAAAAAAAAAAAAAGGATCCTTTGCCTAGGCTTTTTTAGTGTTACTTATTTTTATACCAAACTTCCTAGAGTGTTTAAATAGGATCAGATCTAGTGGAATTGAGAAACTGTATCTACTACACAGGATAAACCACCCATACAGCATGACAACACAGAAAATAAGTCATTTGTGTGTCAGAGATGTCTGGAATCCTATGACTCAATGCCTCGTAATGTGTTTTATGACTCATAGGAACATATTTTGTTCCTCTTTACAAATCAAATTGAAGAAAAAGGAGAACATAAAGCTGGTTAATTTTGAAAGAATAAATTTACATATTTTACTACAATTAAATATTAAAAATTAGGCAATAAAATATCTAAGATTCCTTTCAGCAAAATATACTAAAATTAAAAAGTGACTATCTCCTTATACTTAGTAATTCTATTTCAAAGTTCTTTAAGCTTTTATGTGTGCAGATAAAATGATTAAGCATATTTATTGAATCATTATAGGATGCAAAATGTTGGAAACAATTTTTTTCCTGAAAACAATTTAAATGCCTACCAAACGGTTACCTAAAATTATGAAACACAAGAAATTCTTAATCTTTAACTTAACTGATTTAACCAATAGTCTTGGTTTTTGAAGTAAAATTTATGATGACTTTGGCATACTAAATACTTTGACTAGTAGTCTACCACTAATAAGCTCACACATTTTTGCTCCCATGGCAGGGTGTGTTTATCAAGGATAAGATGTGGTTGGTACCACAACTGTTTGTGCTAAGTGTATTTGCTATGATAACTAATGACTTATATGAATAGCATTTAAACTGATAAAATAGGAATGAAAAAAGCAAGTTGTTTCTGTGATCACTAGGTTGAATACTACAGAAAGACTTAGTAAAAGCAAGCTACCAAAGAAAGGAAAGTGCTACTGAACTGGGTATAGCTGATACAATTGAAACACTAAGGCAAACAGTAAACAGTAAAAAATCTTAGGAGTTTTACTCTAAGATTGTCTCTTAAGGGTCTAATTTCTCACATCACTTAAAGAAACCTAAAATGGAAGTTACAGATAATGGATTGTGAGCATGTTCTAAGCAAGGAAGAGGACATTAAACTCATTTGTCAGTAGACTCCACACTGTTAATGAAAAAGCGTTGTTCCAATTTCAAAAATATTAGCTATTAAATACAGTCACACTGAAATGTTTAGAGATTTACTTTTTACAATTCCCAACTACCACTTGTGAACATATCAATGAGAGGTCTTCTAGTTGTACATCTTTAAAATGAAATACTGTGCTTCCAATTTAAAATAAGTAGCAGATCTCAATGTTTAGTATCAACGAAAATCTCTAAAGCAGTGTTAAATGAAAAATGCAGGCTCAGAGCCACTGTGTATATAAAAGGTTCTACACACACTTACGCTTGAATATACATAAAATATCTCTGGAAGAATACTCAAAAAAAGAATACAGTGATTGTGGGGAAGAAAGACGGTTGACTAGGGTTTGAAGTATAGGAGTTATTTTTCATTCATTGTGGTCTTCTGTACTATCTGCAGTTCATACCATGTACATGTTTTTGAAAGTAAAAAGAAAAAAATTAAAACCTTATTTCAGGCTGGGTGAGGTGGCTCACGCCTATAATCCTAGCACTCTGGGAGGTCGAGGTGGGAGGATTGTTTGAGTTCAGGAGTTCGAGACCAGTCTGAGCAACAGTGAGACCCGTCTCTACTAAAAACAGAAAGAAATTAGCTGGACAACTAAAAATATATAGAAAAAATTAGCCGGGCATGGTGGCACATGCCTGTAGTCCCAGCTAGTTGGGAGGCTGAGGCATAAATTTGCTTGAGCCCAGGAGTTTGAGGTTGCTGTGAGCAAGGCTGACACCACGACACTCTAGACCTGGCAACAGAGTGAGACTCTGTCTCAAAAAAAAAAAAAAGAAAGAAAAAGAAAAAAACCTTATTTCAATAAACTGAGAAGTATTTTAATAAAAATCCTAAAAGCAATTTCCTATACCAGGTTTTTACAGTACTAGGTGCCCAATTTTTAAAAAACTGTTGTCTAGTAAGTTTATTTTAGAAACCATTATATCTCAATGTAGTCTTCCAAAATAATCCCAACTAGAATTATTAAATACAAAGACATAAGACTCAAATAAGTTTTCAAACTCAATCACACATTTTGAAGTAAATACATTTTTCTTATAGTTCTTACATAAGTGCTATGACAGATATTTTCTATATAAGATTAGGACTATAAAAAAATGATTGCCTGCCCACCTTCCCCAAATAAAAAGAAACAAAAAAGAGTGCTAGCTCTTATGAGCAATTATCCTGAAAGAGAGAAGATGAAACTCATTAGAAGGGTTAAATGAGATCAATGATTGCTAATCACAATCACTGGAGTTGGGTCATAGTTACCAGCTAGGCCAGCGAAATACCAAAGAATTATATAAGTGGTTGAAAGATGAGAGTTTCTCTGTGGTGATAGAACAGTTCTGTATCTTGAATATGGTAGTGGTTATACAAATCCATACATAAGCCAAAATGTCACAGAATTACACATAAAGACATTAACACACACAATCCCTGCCTACCAACCATCAATGGGTGCTTGCAAAAACTGCTGAAATCCAATAAGGTCTGTAGTGTAATTAGTTGTACTGCGCCATTTATCAATTTCCTAGTTTTGATAATGCACACAAGATGTCACCATTGAAGGAAACTTGCTGATACAAACATGAGACTGCTATGTACCATTTCTGGAATTTCTGATGCATTTATAATTTCTTCAAAATAAGTTTTTAAAAAGTGTTCAGAAACACCCTGAATTATACCTTGTATGT